TCCTCCAGCTCACTCGCTGCTCTTTCAGTTGTCAGGTGTAAGGGACGACGCTTCTCTTGCCATTGAAGAGTGCTTGCATCTCATCGATGACAACTTCGCCTCAGAAGAGGATCCAGAGGTGAGAACCTAATCTAGAACACAACGTTTAATCTTTTTACAGCAATTAATGCAGTAGGAATTGTTTGAGAGAGAGAGAGAGAGAGAGAGAGAGAGAGAGAGAGAGAGAGAGAGAGAGAGAGAGAGAGAGAGAGAGAGAGAGAGAGAGAGAGAGAGAAATATCTTTTGAAATGAAATTCAGGCTTTCCAAACTCGTTTGAAAATTTTAATGTCTTAATTTTCTCAGTTGACAGGTCCTGGTTTACAGAATGTAGGAGAACATGCACTTCCGTTTCAGAGGCCACTCATCTCACCCTTGATGCCTGAAGAGGAATCCACATTTACCTTAGAGCAACAGTGGCAAGATGTTTTGGCCATCATGGAATCACAGGTATGCAAATGCAAGCATCTTACCGTCAAGTCTCAAATTCAAGTTGATCACCAGTGCTTCAATGAACATATGTGACGCGCTCTATCATTTTGAGTCGTAGCAATGAATAGTTTGAGAAACACAATAAGCAAAAAACTGTTTTAAATGTTATAAAGTCTCAGTTTTCAAATGTATGGCAATTGTTTTTTTTACAGGATTAAAAAATTAAATGCCATTTTGACGCCCTTTAATGTGGTGAGACAGATCATTTTCCGTGTTCCACACCGTCATGTCCGCACAGCTTTCAAAGTATACTCAACCGTGGATGGACGCCTTCGATACATGCGCAGTACAATTGCTTTTTAGGGCCCGTTCAAGTCGCATCTTTTGCGTGCTCAACTTCGTCATTTTAAACATAGACATGCAACAAGTGCTATCACAATAGAGAGCAAAGGCATTGTGACGCGCTTGTTTTTTTCAGGCCATTTTCTCATAATTTAAACAAGGTTTTTTTATGATAGACAGCAACCATTTAAATGATATCTTGTCAAGGATTTGTTATATCATAAAAAACAATCCCTTTTTCATTCAGGCCTAATGTTTTTATCTCAAATTGTGTTTCTGGGTCAAAGATTCAAAATGATGGACCAGTTCACGTGTTTTATTGATCTGGCAGTCAGAGAACCTTTTTTAACTTCTCTTATCTCTATAGGACATGGATATAGCCGAAACAACAGGCGATTCCCCCCTCAATATAAGTGATTCAGACAGAAATACTGGATCCATGGACAACTTTATTCATCAGGATGTTAGCCTTCACCGAGCCCCTCTGCCAAGATCCACTGATGCACAAAACAGCGTCACCATGGAAGAAACCTGTCGGATTAACAACCACCCCTTGCCAAACCTCAACATGGACACCCCTGCTAATGTAGAAACTTTTGAAGACTCTGATATCATAGCCCTCCTTACTGGGACTAGCCTGGCAAGCCCTTTAGATCCTCTGCTAGAGGAAGCCATGCTTGATGAGATTGGACTAATGGATTTGGCCCTGGAAGACCTTGACGAGCAAAACCAAGCAGATTCTGACTCTGGTTTATCCCTGGACTATAGCCAAAGCCCTACCTCCAATATTGGATCTGAATCTTCCAGTTCCTCATCATCATCTTCATGCTCTTCATCACCCTCCAGCCCAAGCCCTAGTTTGATACCAGAGGAAGGTGCTGTGGGCTACACCCATATCAAGGAAGAGGATGGAGCTGTGGGTGGCTTCATGCCAGAACAAACCAAAATGTGTCAGTCAAGTTTGTTGGAAGCCAGGCAGTTCCATCGTCTTCCTTGGCTCGAGCACATCGGACACGATCATACCTACAACCAACCTCAAAGCCAGAAGAATCCTCCAAAAGATCTCTTCGATGAGTCTAAAGAGAAAGTGCTGGAGCATCTGTCCAGCCGGGATGAGAAACACGCACAGTCGTTGAATATCCCGTTCTCCAACGAACGCATCGTAAACTTGCCCGTTGAGGAATTCAATCGTTTGCTAGCAAAATATCATCTCAATGAGGCTCAGCTCTCACTCATCAGAGACATTCGCCGCAGGGGTAAAAACAAAATGGCTGCTCAGAACTGTCGTCGAAGGAAGCTAAATGTCCTAGTGGGATTGGAGCGTAATGTGGATAGCCTGCGACGCCTCCGGGTCAGACTGCTTAGGGAAAAGTCAGAGATCTTGTGCTCCATCAGGGAGATTAAGCAGCTTCTTAATAGCCTGTATCAAGAGGTGTATGAGAGACTAAGGGAGGAACAGGGACTGCTCTACTCTGACAACAACTTTACGTTGCAGCAAGACTGCACCAGCCCTGTAACATCCCAACGCAGATCAGATTCACACTCCAGACGCAAACTTAGCAAGAGACAAAAACGCAAGAAGTGAGGAGTCTTCAATGAGCTGATGTTGATTAGTTCTACATGCTGGTTTTCCACAGTTCAAAGGAATTTTACACCAAGTAGGGTATTTTTACCCAAGAAATCATCCTTTAAGATGTCATATACTGTGTAACCACATAATACAACTTGACTGAACTTTAAGTTCCACAATGTTAATTTAAAGGGCAATGTGTGTTTCCTTGATCTTTTGATGTAAAAGACGTTTAAATATACTCTAAAACAGACTGTAAAGGGCAGCAAATGTGCAGTGTGTGTCTGAGGCTGAATCTAGCCAGAGAAAGCACTCAACGCTGTAGCCGATGTCAGATGTAAAGTGGGCGTTTCTGAAAGGCACAATACCAAATATCAGACCGTTTATTTATAAGGGCCACAGAGAGGGTCCCCTCCTTTTCCAGCAACCAGTCACTGATTCACATGAGATTACAGCAAACGACAATCAATTGCCAATGGAGAAAATCACATTTTTCTCGCTCGGTTTCACTTGGATGTCACAATAGCGAAGAAAAGACTATCGCAACATTCATGCGGACATTAAGAACCAAACTAGGAATATGGTAAATAGTTCCCAAAAAAAACAGTACAATAATCCTGTGTTAGAATGGCAAATTGTGTTTGGAATTATGCTTGGAATCCAAGTATTGAAACAAAGTGATAATGCGTTTTAAATATTGCTTACTGGTTTGATAAAAGTGTTGGTTTGCCATCTCATTATAGGGAACACCATACAATGAATGTACATTTAGTTTTGAGCTCGATTAACCTTAACTAGATAACAAGGCTGTAAAGTTTAAGGATTTTTGACCCACCATGTTTTGAGTGAACTGGAATTCTGTCCTTGAGTTTGTGTGGTTTATTTTAAATTGTATTGATGTAACGGTTTGATGAAATGTTAAAATACAGAACTGGTATTTGATTTTATTAATATTTTGAAATACCTTGTAAATAATTTAAACCTTTTTATATTCAATTGTTTATGTACCTTGTGATTAATATTTTGCAGTGAATTTATGTTCTTGGTCACAAGCTCTTTTGTTTTAATTAAAAGCTATTTATGGTCCTGAATTTTCAATTTCTTTTCTGTAAAATAGGACCTTAATACAAAGTACATTTTTAAACAACATTTCTTAAAATAATCATAGATAAAAAAAAAAACAGAATTAATACAAAAGTTTAGTTTATTGAACAAATAATCATCTCCCCCTTGAAAAAGTGAAAATGAAAGAAAGTAACATGCGTCAAACAGTACACTTTAAAAGAGAAAACAGACAATCAGAGAGTAATATAATGCAGTCACATTACTGATTGTGTACAACTATAAGCACTTCAGGCTTCTCTGGTACGCAGCAGAAGAGTATGCCACTATTAATACCATATTTAGCGAAAAACGTATCCAGTGATCCAAGCACTATTTTAACCAATGCCAAAACATTTTGAAGAGCTTCATTACACTTTAAAATGAACATTACCAATACTAACATGTTTATGCTGGTGCAAAAGTCGTACTAAGAGACCTGATCTGTAGCATGGTAATGTTGATGAGCTTTTGTACCTTCACTACACATTTACGTTTATGGAAAAAAAAGAAAGAAAGATGCATTAAAGCTGTGTAGTACATTCTAATTCTTGAGCACCGCCAAAGAGAGTAAAACAGCAAAGTGTCCAACCTTTCATCAATGTTTTCTTAAGTATTCTGAGCCAGGTCTGGCACTCCTTGAACAGCCTATAAAACTTGAAAGATCAATCTGAGAAGCTGGAATCTAAAGAGCATATTTACTCTTCACACAGTAATGCAACTGATAAAATACACTGACAGCTAATAGTTAAAAATAAACGTTTATATAAGATTATGGGAAATGCAGTTTACTAAGCTGACTAGAATTGATCAAAAAACCTATTTGTGAATATACACACACATACATATATATATATATATATATGCATATATATGCAGCTTATATCCTCAAGTGGTGAACGAATAAAAGACGAGAATACTGTATACATGATGAATAAATTCAAAAATACTGCTAAAACAGCAAGACCGCACTACACAGCAATGTGCTCACTAATAAGGTGACAACAGCTTTGATAAATGCATTTACACAACAAATGACTTGAAGAGCAAGTCTCAATTTGATGGAAAGGAAAAAGAGAAGGCTTAAGAAATTAGGTCATACTGCCCTGCGAAGACAAAACACAGTAACTGCACACAATCATAACTGAGTTGAGCGAAAAACTAGGCCTAGATTCAGAGAAAACTACACACTGATATCAAATTACAATTTACTCAAACTTTATATCCATTTTTTTTTTTTTTTTTTCAGTTATAGTGTTGCATACTTACTATGTTTTAACTTAGGACAGCATTTTACACAGTGACACGTTCTGATTTAGACATTAAATGTCCTTCAAATCCCTTGTCAGAAAAATACAGAGCATGAGGATGTGCACATAGGATCAATCGCATTAAGCATTTACATAATCAGGCGTTCACCACCGGGAACGACAACTGAGCAACTACTGCAGCATATACACCCCATTTCCCATAATCAAACAAAAAAAGAAAAAGCAAAGAGGAAATACAGTAATCCTGTTTCTTATGGGATTAGTATTCTGATTAAAATCACTTTTGATGACTCCACGTCTGCATATCATGCTCTGAATATACTCCGAGTCCGGTTTTATGGCATCGAGTGTAAGAGTTTGTCTCTGTTCCCCCATTTCTAAACTTCCCATGTCCCCCCCGCCAAGCCCACCCTAACTAGTAATGACTTGCCACATATCTCGTTTTCCCTCGCAAGCCTAGTTCTTATCGTCTTTCTTCTCTTCTTCCTCAGAAGGGTAAGAGTGCCATGTCAGTCGCTCTTCGTAGAATGAGATGACCACCTGCGGGCACTTCACATTGGCCTCTTTGGCTGGAACGAGATCTGCCTCATCAGAGTTTTTCCTGTAGAGAACAGGCAGAGGGGAACACAATTAAATAAGCACTTGAGATAATGTAATTTAGCCCATCATACAGAATGGGGTAAAAAGAAAAAACAGGCATCTGGGTTTTGGCTCAGCCTGTCTAAGGCTACGTTTACACTAGTGCGTTTTCGTTTTAAAATGTTTGCTATGGTTACGCCTGGCGTCCACACTTCACTAGAGTTTTCCACCCTCTAAAATGGAGACTTTTGGAAATGCCGCAGACCCCGTTTAGGTTTGAAAAATCCGGGGTTGTGTTTCAGTGCAGACGGTCCAAAAAAGAGATGAACGAAACGAAGGCATGGCTACCCACATTTGCTCCCTGATCGGGTCTTCTGGATGATTGCATATCCTTTACTGATTCTTCAAGCCCCATATCACATGCGCAAGATTATTAGAGCATTCGGCAACTGTTTACACTCGTACACACATGGCCAGTGTGCATGAAAGGTCATGTGACATCCGTTTTCGGTCGTGTAGTGTGGATGGAGATCTTTTCTGAAACGCAGTGGAAACACCAGTATGGAGGAGGATTGTTTTCATTTTAAAACGGTGTGTTAAAACTAAAACGCACTAGTGTGGACATATGAATGAGGCATTTTTTATGAATGAATGAGGCATTTATATAGCGCTTTCATATGTACTACTGGACACCCAAAGCACTTTACAATCATATCAGGGGATCTCTCCTCAACCACCACCAGTGTGCAGCATCCACTTGGATGATGCGACGGCAGCCACAGTACAAAAAGCAAACGCTATACTTTCACATACAGTTTACTTTTTTTAACAGTTCTATATAATAACGTATTAGATATGACTGCTAAACAGAGACCGTAAACTAATGAAGATGGAGAATGTGAGCGCTGTGATATCAGGCATCTGTTTGTTTGACCAAAGGTGGAAAGTTTATATTATTTATTTTCTAAACTAATTTGAGACTCTAATGGAGCTGAAATTACTAGGGATGCACCAATAGGATTTTAAGATTTTTTGGGGGGGCTGATACCGATTGTAACAAACAATTATTAGCCGATTCCGACACCAAAATTTGTCACTTGCTCTCTTATTTGAACTTTTGTCATTAAAATAGATGTTTTTTTTACTTTGCTGATTTAAAACATGATCAAAACACTATGCATTAAGTTATACTAGCTAGGCTATTGCTGCATCAAATAATTTCCAATGAACATGGATTGGATCCATTTAACATTCAGCAGGCCAACTTAAATACAACAGAACAAAGATACATATGAAGTAAACAGTGCTTTTAGGTAAGTTAAACAGTTTTCAGGTTCAGAAATAAAGTAAACAATTGTAAAATATATGCATATTCTTCACTGCATATTCTAAATTAAAGGTGTTGTTGACAGAAATGCAATATCATATACATAACTATGTTTTCAGTGGTGTATAAAGACCTTACTTAAGGAACAGTTTTGTTTTTATTACCTTAGAATGAGCCATTTCTATCTACATACACCACGGGTCCCCTTACATTGAAATGCGCTGACATGTTTCTACTTCTTCGTGCAAAGAAGCTAGCTAAAGTCAGCCAATAAAACACTGACACAATAATGAACAAGTAACAATAATATTCGCAATAACATATCGTTTTACTGAATTAAGTAAACCTAATTTCTTAATTTATCTTTGTAAAGAAACCTCATTGCTTAACTGGCTACTCTCTGCTGTCTCAGACGACGACAACTTTTCCTGTCAGCCACCGTAACTTCTGTTGGTTGCAATTCGCAACCTCACCACTAGATACTACTAAAAATTACACACTGCACCTTTAAATACATATATTATTATTACATTGAGACGTAGCTAAATTCTACTTTAAACAGTAATATATTTCTGTCAATTACTTTAAGTAAAACTGAACTTATTTTGACGGGTTGCCGTGAAGACTTTCGAGTTTCTGTGTGTTTATGATATGACGATAGATTTTCTCAAATTAAATGGTAAAATGCTCATGAAGTGACTCTGGAGATGAAGTTCATGCATTCATGTCCTCAAAGTGAGATAACACAGTGTCACGCATGCTTCAGTGTGTGTGGTAAATGAAACCGCGCGTCTGCGCCATTCATTCACACAGACACACAGAACATGCAGGATTCATATTTAGTCTTTTTGTGGTTTAATATTCAGACACTAGTTTATATTGCGATTTGATTTAAGTGTACTGACCTACTTTTTTGTTTATTCATCAAAACTTTGACAAATTCCCTGACATTCCGTGTTGTACAGTAAATTCTGTTTTATGACGATTCCGACCACGTTTTTCGCATCGCAGGTATCTTAGGGCCCCATTCATATTAATACTTACGAAAGTTACAAAAGTTATTTAGTGAAGAGTAGGGAGCGGTTTTTGTCTTTTGTTTGATTAACATTAAAAGACAGACAGCAGCACAGCAAGAGTATTATATTAAACCAGCGGTTTGTTATATCAGCCTTATATCGGCCGATACATCAGTGCATCTCTAGAAATTATACACTTCACAAAATCATAAAATCTTAATATTTACATACCATTTCATTAGAAACATGAGCTCGCCACTGGAATCTGTGGCTCCAATGATGCGTTCTGGATCTAACCCCCGTGAAAAGCCTCTCGGCTTGTCTTGCTGCAAAACATTAGGAAATAATTTATTATTCATATGCAGTAAAAGTTTAATCCAAGTAGTCTTCCATACAGGAACATTTTTTCAACTTTCTAATCAGCATGTCTAAATTTTAGTTCTCAAGGACAGGGAAGCAAAAAGGTTGTGCTAAGATTGTCTTGTTAAATCTAAATTCACAGCTATAATTTTATGTATCCTAAATGCACACAATTAAATAATGGTTTCACACTTTCGAATAAGACAACATTTCAGATTGAAATTGATTCACAAAAATATTCTGTTTATAAATAAGATTTCATTTTTTCATTAATCACGTATTTGATAAGCAAACACAAATAAATGCATAAACATTTGCAAGATTTACAAGCTTTTAATGCAACCAAAAAATAAAATAACAAAAAAGTCTGTATGTCAGTTTTTATAAAAATCAACTCTTGGACATAAATTTTCCGAAGTTGAATAAACAGCTAAAAGCACACGACAGATGCATAAATATAAGTATGAGCACAGTTTTATGTATAAAAAGATGTGCATCAAACATGCAATGGGGGTGCGACCGAAATTGTGTTAGAGGTTGCATTGGCGTGACCACTATGTTTCCCAACATCAAATAAAAGCAGAATAAAACTGCGCTACTCATTTGTGCTTCACAGACCGTTCACCAGTTCGGACCAAAAATAGGTCAGCGCAGTGGGGATCCAAAAGCTTCTCGTGGGGTGATCTCAATCACGCAACACCATTACTACGCAGCGCTAGGAGATCCAGTGAAGAAAGCAATTGAATTTGCTACAGAATTAATAATATCGCAGCGAGGTCTAGTCGGAAGCATTTAGATTCGGTAACGAGTTCTCTGGTATAAACCATGGATATCAGATCATATAGTGCTGAAGTGCAAACCAGGAGAAACATTGTGTGTGTCACAAATTAACAAGTTATAGAAGGCTTTAAGTCCACAAATCGGAAACATTCACCATGGATTTAATGTAGTAACTCGGCTCAAAGTGCTCCCAAGCACTTGCTATGGTATTCCGCCATACATTATAGTTATCCACTTTACACACTTAGAAAAGTGCAACGTTTTATTTTGTGTCACCATTCTTGGTCGAGTTACACTACTCGTGTAACTGTATTTAAATAGGGAAAACATGGAGGTGTTTGGTCGCTTCTCTGCTTGGATCCTAATGAATAAACTGGGCTAAGCTAAGTGCTATCAAAGTTTCGCCGCAAGGCAGAGCGATTTAGTGCACGCACTGAGACAAGAGGTATGCATCAACTCGTCTTAGTTAAGGGAATAACAGTTTAATATGAAAAAACGGTGGAGTATCCCTTTAACGATACCCATCCCTACTTTGTGCCCTCATCAAATAGCAAAAGAATTAATTACACAAGTATGTAGTCTGTTTGCGCTGCGTGTTTTTAAAGCAAAGTGTGCACTTTGCTCATGCGTCAGCTTGTGATCTGGTGTTTTACGCGGAATGTAATATCACAGTGTTTCCCCTACAATGTATTCAGCAGCGGCGCAGCGCCACCCCTGGATTTCCATCGCCACTGCAAAATCGTCACATGATCAATTGGTAATACCACGACATTCACTTACACCTAAAAACACTGAGACATGGCGACCGGTGGCGCTGCTAATGCGGTGGCTCTGAATCCACTTGTTGACAAGAAAGGAGGAAAGAGCTACATATGGAAATATTTTCGATTAGGCTAATGTCACATTGCCATAAGGGGCGGAGGGGCCGTTCACATAGCGCGTTTTTTGCGCGTGCAAATCGTTATTTCAAATGTAGGCGCAGCAAGCGTGCTCATTCATGGTTGCATAGCAACGACAGACGCCACGGGAGAGCAAGCGCTTTTGGAAAGGAGAAAGTGGCACGAACTGCGCGCTCCATGAGGACGAGGAAGTATCAACAAATAATTAATTGATTTCTGTTCGGCCGAGCTTTCGATGTTGTTACGGAAAGGCCGAAGCTGATCGGTTGGTTTTTGTCACATGACCTGTTGAGATGAGATGTTTTAATCTCGCCACGTCGCTTATATTATGAGCCGCTTGTGGCGCGCCTACAATTGAAAACGAATTTGCGCGCAAAAAAACTTGATATATGAACAAGTGGACTCAAGTGCGGTTGTATCGGGGTAGTTTTACTAGTAGGCCTACGAGTAACGTTAGCCTACATGAGCACAGTTTCGGACCGACACCCGAGGACTGGTATCAGCCATGGTATCAGCATCGGTCCATGATCCCTATTTATGTCATTCATATCAGTCCGTCAGAAAAGCAGTTCTAGGCTTATTCTTGGCTGGATAACTCTTAGCAGGTTTAAAAAGCCCTTTTAAAATTAAATATGAGCGCAGTTTTGGATTAAATAAAAGTACAGTCAAGTCAAATTCATTAACATTTCTTAATGCGTTATCTAACATCAACACATTGAGTGAACAATATATTTTTACAACATGAATTTTTTTCATGTTATTTAATACAAACAATTAGCCTAATTGTTAATGTTTGTTCACTTCATTCATTGTGCATTAGGGCTGCAACAACTAATCGATTATGAAAATCGTTGTCAAGGAAAGTCATTATCGATTAGTTGGTCTGCTTACGTCACGGGGAGCGTTTACTGGTGATTGGTTGAAACAGGCCAATCATGATGCTCTCCGTCTCTGCGCACTGCCGTGCGCGCGCTACACGGTTTGGAGCCGTTTGGAGCACAGTCTCTTCTGTCCTATGCTTCTGTCTCGCATGCGCGCTCTAGATTCCGGGAGTTTGAACTAATTTGCGGGCATCGGGGAGCCGCATAAGCCACTATCAATATGCGGGAGACTCCCGGAACTTCCGGGAGACTTGGGATGTCTGTATTTTGTCTCGAGCATCAGGTTGAGCAATCAGTTTGCTCGCAACATAAGTGATGGATTAAAATAGCGCTACTGCAGACATAGGTTAAATTAAAACGGTGTTTACAAAGTGAAGCACTAAATATAAAGGCAGTTAATAACAGCAGCAGTAAAAGATTGTTTTTTTAGTCACTGTACTCAGTGGTTTTCAGCGAATGCATGTGCACTAATGCATAATTTTTCCTGTCCTTTTAATCAAGCCTGTTAGCTTGCGGCGTACCTCCATTCCGCTCTCTTTTTATAGCATTTGTCTACTATAAAGTTTTAATTGTTTTTCAAACGCGATTTACTGCGGCTCTACGTTCACACGCTTGTTTTCAGTCTTTCTATATTTATTTGATCAATTTATCCTTATAATTCAATTAATTTTAAATAATTTAATTATATATTTTAGATGTTTTTAGTTTATATCTTCATATCTGAACAACATGTCTGTGTAAATTTGTTTTAACATAAATTGTGTTAAAACATATGTTGGATATCATTTTTTTTTTTTTTTTTTACATTAATCATGGTTGTCAACTTGCCATCAGCAATTATCATTAAAAACAATGCAAATATTGATGTTAGTAAAATTAAATGTGTGGCTTTTGCACTTTTTAAAGTACACTTTTACACATAAATACCCTGATTTGGGGTTTTATTTAGTTATAATAAACAAAAAATTCGAATATACTTTTTATCCGATTAATCGAAAAAATAATCGTCCGATTAATCGATTATCAAAATAATCGTTAGTTGCAGCCCTATTGTGCATTAAATAATGTTAACAGATAAAACTTTGGATTTTAAAAATGTATTAGTAAATTTAAATAATAATTTGTCTGGGTTGTGCCGTTTCATTTTTCCCCTATCAAGAAAATTAACACAAAAGAAAAACATGAATAATCCTGTCTAAAATTATAAAAATGAAGGTTTCTGTTCAGTTCAAGGTACGTGCTGCAATAATCATGCCTTAATTTGTTGATGGTATGTCATTTTTATGTCTCAAAATGTCCATTTCTATCCACAAAACTTGCCAGAAGTCATGGTTTAATTTTTTTTTTATATATCTTCTGGAGGTGCATAACTCTGGGGCGCGCGGCCTGGTAACAACTTCCGGCACAGCACCGCTGCTGGAAAATTTTCTAGGGGAAACACTATCAACAAAAAAAAGGTTTGAGTCCCCTTTAAAGTTCAGGTACAAGTCAGTTCACAGACTTTGTTTAATTTGCACACTGAACATGGGTTGGAGCTCTTAATTTTGAACTCAGTGTAATAGATAGTTGAATTTATGGTCCACCCCCTATAGTCTCATAAAATCCCGTAGTAAACACGGCATATGCCAATTTGTACATAACATTTGTTTAGAAACAACATTTGTAAACCAAAAAGTCTATAAAATATTATTCATCAAATGGAATGATTAAGTCTAACCTCATCTTTCCTCTTTTTAGGCCGGCTGTCTTCTCCACCATCTGTGTCAGATTCTCCTTTCCTCTTTCCGCTAGAATCTTTCTTCTCATCACTTGCAGGTTTATGTTTTAGCATGTACTCTGCAATGAGATCAGGGCAGTCCAGGTTGTCCTCTGGTTCCCATGTGTTGTCTTCTCTAAAGAAAAGGAAATCATTTTTCAATCAATTGACAGATTTGAATACCATCTTTTTCTTTGGAGAAGGGCTGCTCTACTAACCGAAAGCAAAAGTACATATTTATTAGAAAATCATCTTTTCTTTCCGAGTTCTTTATATAATGATAAAATTGGCAACACGTTTGCTAGGAATCCAGTTCCATGCCTTACATGAATGCATTTTAGTGGAAATTAGGGCTGCACGGTTTGGGGAAAATGTCATATTGCGATTATTGAGGTCAATATTGCGATTGCGATATAATAAACAAATTTCATGAGTCAGCTTGCTTGGATCTCAAGGAAAATGCACAAACAGATTAGTGATAATGCTGAAATGTGTATTTCTCAACTCAACTAAATGCAGTGTTTTCAAATTAAAATAATTATTTACTAAATTAAATGACATATTTGCATTACAGCAAACTTGTTATTGTCTCAATAGTATAAAATAAATGGAACAATAAATAAGAACATTTGTATGCTCATGAAAAAGATTTTTTAAATCAAAGTACTCAAATTTGAATCAAATTTTTTGAGATCAAAGTACTCTTGCATCTCAATGATCGCATTACATTTACAGGAACTAGTTTCTCAGCAGCGGCGGAATTTTACTTTACTCTGGTTAGTAGTACTGCGCCGAAAAGTAAACACAGAACAGAAGCGCACTACAGTTGGGACTACCTGTACTACCTCATAAGCATGATGCAACATATGCTTTGTATAAACTCAGTCTGTGGATAATATTTGGTGTAAGTGTATTGTGATTGTCAAAACATTTGGTAACAGAATATTGTTAAGTTTATTGACAACTTGTTACAATGTTTACATGGTACAACGACTGGTAGGCTACTGGTTTTATTATTGCTTGACACAAACTTCACGATTTTAATTCAAATCTTGTGATTTGATTCCGATCTTGATTCAATATCGATTCATTTGGATGAATATTAGGTACAGTAGATACTAGGGCTGTCACAATGTTAGATTTTTCACACCACGGTCATTGTGGCCAAAATAAATCACGATATCGATATATCACGATATCGATATATCGCGATATCTATAGAATCTATGGGGGGGGGGGTTATCAGTCAAATTAAATTTTACTTTGTTTATATAGTTTTTCTTTTTTACCCAAAACATAAGGGTACTGTCTGATAAGCACAAGGCACATGTATCTTTACTTCTTGGGTACTCAATCTATGGCAATTTTTTTGTGAAGGAAGACAAGCCATTTGAGGTTTATCTGGTTTCAAACTGATGCGAAACACTGTTTGAATGTTTCCTGAAGAACTGAAAAGCTCTTAAACCACGATTATGGCCAAAATGATAATCACGATTATTTTGATCAATATTGAGATAACGATTAATAATCATGATTATTTGTTGATTTTAACCAAAACAAATTTTATTGTCACATAGGCTAATTATAACTGCTTTCACATCCATATTGTGCTACATTCCTGCTAATGTACAAATATGTGCATCAAAATAAAATAGACCTCTTCCTCACCAAAATTCAGTGCATCCCCTTAAAGAATAAATAAAAATAAAGAAAATGTAGCAAAACTTCAACAGGGCACTATTTTCCATTTTGTAAATATATTTTAGGAAGCAAAATATAAACTTGCATTGTACGTGCATAATGGATGTGAATAAAACTCAAAATATACAATCAATAAAAACAAATATTCCATAACAGAATGTAACCAAATGAGAACATGTCAAGGCAATACATGTCAAGGCAGAACTATGCACTAAGGAAGTTCGATTAATGGATACAATTCAGAGTCATTGTTATTTGACGCTCAAGGGAAGGAGACACTACAGGTGAATAGGGTAACATTTTTAAATAATAGACATCACCATGAAACTTCCTCAGTTGATTACTTACACAAGTATATAAAAAAAGTATTACAAGTTTTTGAAATTTGTATGTTTAATTATGCAAATTAGGCATTATCTCATTAAATATGCACAATTTTGCATATATTTTCGGTAGATAGATCTGAACATATGATAAAGCCAGGTGCAAAATTATTTTTTTCATTTTGTTTATGCTTTCATTACCTTGGGAATCAAAATATACTGTCCACACCCTTAAAAAAAATCGATTTTCGCCATATTTTTTTTATTAAAATGTCACATAAATCAGGCCAGGAATGATTTATTAACAAATCCCTCTGAAAATATCTTCAGAATACTGCTAAGTGTATAACTGGAGAGTTTGGTGTACATAGGTGCTACATAGGGCGAGATATTTGTAGTGGAGAATGACAAAAAACTCATTTTGCGAAAAAGGCATTTAAAGATTTAAGTAGGGAATTTAATACATTTCTATCGGAAAATATTGCTCAAAAACAGAATAAATGCTCAGGCCCTTAGTAATAATAATATATAATATTTCAAGCTCATGAAAACTGATTATTTAAAAAAATTGCCGAGCACACCTTTGCACTCATGCGGACGCGTCAAGTATAAACAATGTTTACGTTAAACGATATGTTTGTCCCGTTTTAGCCACCGTAGCTTCTTCGAAAATGGAGGGGTGAGCAGTGGGCTGAGCCCTTAGTGCAACCAAACCGCTAGATGCCGCTAAGATCTACACACTGCACCTTTAAACAATAGTTCAAAACAAGACGTTTGTAGTACTGATTATTGGAGTCCATTAATCGAAACTTCCATGCCTCTTATAGTAGTATGTACCAATTTACTAATGCTCGGACACACTCGGTCTCGCTCGCGCAGTTCGCTTTGCTTTTGACCAGTCCGGCGCAAGGGGTCATAATCTATATCTAAAAACTCAACTCTGATTGGCGGAGGCACGTGATCAGACAGTAGTTTACGGAGCGCTAGATTGGCTTTACAAAAAAAATCGTGGGAAGCCAAAATCGTGATTGTCATTAAAATTCGATTAGCTGTGCAGCCCTACTAAACTGACTGGTCTTTTTATTAGCGGTGTAGAAAATTTGCAAACAGCTCTCAGAGAAAATGGGTTGTCATGTCCACACATGCATTTATGCATTTCATAAAATCGCAGCATTTTGCGTCATATAATCGAATAGGCTTTACATCGCGATTGCGATTTGATTAATCGTGCAACACTAGTGGAAATCCAGCTGATATTAGTTACTTACTCTGAGAAGCCCTTCCACTTGAGCAGGAACTCCACTCTGCCCTTCACCACCCGTCTGTCCAGGACTTTCTCCACCACATATTCTTCCTCTTCCTCTACAACCTCCTCCACCTTCTTCTTGTTCAGCTTCTTTCCAGCGGTGGCCGCCAGCTTCTCGTCTGTGGAGAAAGAAGAGGGCAGAAAAGAGGGTCAGTCTTTTCTGTGGGAAAAAAATATTAAGTGTTCAAACAGTTAAAATATGATGCAAGTTAAACTTGAAACAGACACTATGGGGCTGAGCAGAACAAATACAAACAAACAGTGATACTTCAATGGCAGGGGGTTGTGCGCAAAGATTATTTGAAAGGTAGGCCAAGGTCAATAAAGTCTGTTTGCCAACATTAGACAACTTTGCTGTATAGAGCACAGTGTGTCAAAATTAGAGACACTTTGACTGCAGTATAAAACCGCAGCTCTTAATAATAAATTCTTGCTATTGAGACCAAGATCAGTAACTAAATTCATTCAGAATAGTTATCAAAAGATGTTTTAGGGTTTCAGACTCATTGTCCACCACTTAAATAGTTCATACAAAAATCAAAATTATTAAAATAGTCAGTTACTAACCCTCATGTCATCTGAATTATATAACAGTGTAACAGACACACCTTAAGGGAAAGTTCTCCCAAAAATCAAAATTCTGTATGAATTTCTTCTGCTGGACACAAAAGATTATATTTTGAAGAATGTCTGTAACTTAACAGGAAGTCAATGGGGTCCATCAACTGTTTGGTTAGCCATATTCTTCAAAATATCCTCTTTTGTGTTCGGCAGAAGAAAGAAATTCATACAGGTTTAAAACAACACAAGGGTGAGTGAGTACATGACACAAGTTTCATTTTTGGGTGAACTATCCCTTTAAGCTGTTCAAACTTTCACTTGTTAAGAATCAGCATAATCACAATGTCAGCATCACATTCCAAGCAGGGCAGATACCAGTTTGAACTTGAACCACCATAACCACTTGACGCTCATTTCACAACTTCTCAGGTTGTAAACGACCAATTAAAGGGATAGTTCACCCAAAAATGAAAATTAAGTCATTAATTACTCACCCCCATGCTGTACCAACCCCGTAAGACCTTCGTTCATCTTCGGAACACAAATGAAGATATTTTTTATTAAATCTGAGAGCTGGATCACTGCTACATAGGCTTCCTAAGGGAGTGAAACTTGACGGCCCAGAAAGTCATTAAAGAAAATGTTTAAATATTCCATGTGCCTACAGTGGCTCAACTATAAGTTTATCAAGCGACGAGAATACTTTTCGTGCGGGATAAAACAAAAATAACGACTTTATTCGACTATTCCAGACGAGAGTTCAAGAGATTTCCAGGACGCATGCGCGAGAACTGACCTTCTTCTTCTACTACACAGCGCGCGTCTTACAAGCAGAGGAAGACGCGTGCTGTACATAGTAGTAGAAGAAGGTCAGTTCTCGCGCATGCGTCCTGGAAATCTCTTGAACTCTCGTCTCAGGCCCACAAGGAAGCAATGGAATAGTCGAATAAAGTCGTTATGTTTGTTTTATTCCGCACAAAAAGTATTCTCGTCGCTTGATAAACTTATAGTGGAGCCACTGTAGGCACATGGAATATTTAAACATTTTCTTTAATGACTTTCTGGGCCGTCAAGTGTCACTCCCTTAGGAAGCCTATGTAGCAGTGATCCAGCTCTCAGATTTAATCAAAAATATCTTCATTTGTGTTCCGAAGATGAACGAAGGTCTTACGGGGTTGGTACAGCATGGGGGTGAGTAATTAATGACTTAATTTTCATTTTTGGGTGAACTAACCCTTTAATCGAAAGACAATGGCATCAAATATTTTGGGGTCAATAAGATTTTTTTTTATTACTGTTTTTGAAAGAAGTCTCTTATGCTCATCAAGGCTGCATATATTTGTTTAAAATACATTAAAAATATTGTGAAATATTAAATATATTTCAAAATGTAATTTATTCTGGTTAGGGATGCACCGATCCACATTTTTTCACTTCCGATCCGATCCCGATACCTGAATTTGGATATCGGCCGATACCGATTCTATTTCCGATACCAGAGCTGTGTTTGCTTTACTATTATTATTATCATTATTGTTGATTTTATATGATGCTGAAATAAACTCCTCTCAACAGGCAAGTATGATATGTACGTATCTATGCGTGTATGTCCTAAAAGGCAACTTTAGGTAAGTATGAGGCCAGAAAAACAGGAAATCCTGTTAACAGGAAAAATCCCATTCTGAAAGCAAATATGCAACTGCAAGGGTTTCAAATTGATTGTCATGTCAAATATAAGAAAAGTGCAAGTGTAAACATCTTACACACACACTATCAATAAAACAGTTTGCATCAACAGCAAAAAAAAACAAGTACACTGGCTCTTTTAGCATCAACAAATCAAGGTTTTAAAATGTAAAATATTAGAAATATAAGAAAAGTGCAATAGTCCAACATTTTCGTAGGCTATTCGTGATTCAGCTGCTCTGAATTGTCAAAACACCATTCAAACTCTATTCAAACTTCTTGCTACAGATGCGAAAAACGCAGATTTTTTTTATGACGGACGAAAGTTTCAGTGGCAGTATGCAAGCGTGATTGACATAACGTGAGGTCGTATTTATTTTTTAACGTGCGAAAATTTCGGACTCCGTGTGCAAGGGCCTTAACACACACACACACACACACACACACACACACACACACTCTATCATTCTGCCCACTGGCTAAAAAATCCTCGTGCTCTTTAACGTGGTGCTTTTTTAAATGTTTGATTGCGTTCGTTGTGTTGACCGACGCGAGGGAGCTTCCACCTCTCTGAATTACAGCTTTGCAAACATTGCATTTTGCTGTCTTGCTCCGCGGTGTTTCCAGAGTGAAGTATTTCCACACAGCGGACATAATGCTGCTCAATGCTTTCCTGCTAGCTGGCTGCAAACTGCGGAATGGATTTTCTGAGCGGAGGCGTGTCTCATGACTCTGTGTCTATTTGAGCCGCGCCTCCGTTCAGGAAATCCATTCCACAGTTTGCAGCCAGCTAGCAGACTAGCCGGCGGGAATCAATTTTGGAGTCATTTCAGCAGACAACGTTAAAGCGCAAACATGGCTCATGGATATCGGATATCTCCGCAGGTTGGATCGGGAAAATCCGATACGTGAATTTACGCTGGTATCGGTCCCGATACCGATACTGGATCGGATCGGCCCCATCCCTAATTCTGGTGATGGTGAAGCTGAATTTACAGCATAATTTCTTAAGTGTTCAAGTGAATGATTCTTCAGAAATTATTTTGATATGATGATTTTATGCTTAAGAAATATTTATTGTTATTATCTATGTTGAAAAACAGTTGTGCTGCTTTATATTTTTGTGAAAATATTGATAATTACTTCAGGATTATTTGATGAATAGGAAGCTTACAAAACAGCATTTAATATAAATCTTTTGTAACATTACAAATTTCTTTACTGTCAATTTCGATCAATCCTTGCTGAATAAAAGCATGAATTTCTTTAAACAAATAATAAAAAAAAATCTTACTGACCTCAAACTCTTGAACAGTAATTCATATTTTGTGAACAAAATAGAAATTTTATGAAAATGTAATTTGTCATCATCAAAACATTAGACTATAATATCTGGATTTTATCAGTATCAGAGGCAATTCAACTCCCTAAATATCAACATCCATTACACGATTGAATACACCACAGTAGTTAATAGCTAGTGTGGAGAACAAATGTGCAAACTAATCAACCACAAATAAGGGTAATGCAGCCTAAAATTTCAGTAACATTTTACAATTTGGTCTCATTTGTTAACGTATGAGTCAATGCATTAGCCATGAACAGCAATTATAAATCCTTGTTAATGTTAGTTACTAAAAATACAAGTTAGTTAGTTCACAGTGCATTAACTAATGTTAACAGATACAACTTGCCAGTTAGAATACTACAATTCAATTAGTAATAAACCTGATTTTAAAAATGTTACAAACAAATGAGACCTTAATGTAAAATGCTTCCCAAATTTCTTCACTTTGAAACGCTCATTCTGTCTTTAGTGCACCAGACCAGAATCGTACCTCTGACCTTATAAATCACCTCTATTAGTCAGTGACAAATAATAGTTCACATGGCAGATGAAACAGCGGTCATGAAAACAGACAGTTACCAACAACCTGTGATTCAATAATAAAAAAAATCATTTCAAGGCTTGTTTATAAGACCGAAACAACGTCTGGAAATAAACCCTCCTTCCCACACATTTGAAAGAAAAATAACAGTGAAGGAGAAAGTTGTGAGACACCTTCGGTGACGCTGGGAGCATCACTGGCTGTCTCTGTTGGTTGGCTCATGCTCGTCATGAAGGGGGGAGGCTCTGCGGAACCTTCCGGTTCCCTGTCAACGTCAACAGTGCTGAACAGAGTGAAAGTGAGGATTAGACGGGATGAGGGGAGGGGTCAGGTGATATCAGGGAAAGAACAACAAGGCAGGAAATAAAATTATACAGCACCGCGGATAACAGTTTGCTGGCTCTAACAAATACAGAATTTCATAGTGCACAGCTCCCTCTGAATCGCTTTGTAATTCAAAAAACATTTATTACATGTGTGCATTTTGGGTTGATCTTACAAAAATGCATCCAGGTCAGACTGAAAATATCTTGTATAATGAAACCTATATTTTTAGGACGATTAGGTTTTTTGTGATATTTTCATTAGGGCTGGGTTAAAAATATTGATTTCACGATTTTCCTTCGTTCTAATTTTGATTAACCAATATCGATTCTTAAATCCAAAGAATCGATCTTTTAGGCCGCATTTCATGGTTGAGGTAGTGATGGGTCAATCATGAACGATTCATTCATTTTGAACAAATCTTTAATATGACTCAGGAACAATGAGTTGCCTCAGAGAGTGATTCGTTCATTTTGTGTTGACTGCGCATGCGCAACATGCCATAGATTCTGTACAGGAAACAGAAATGATTATTTCACCTCTCGAGTCGAGTCGTATGTTCTTTTGTCACGTGACCGCTGTATTGGATACAAAAATTAGTCAATTCCCAAGCTTCCTTACAAAAGCGCATAGTTAACTTACGTGTTTTTTTTTTACAGTTTTGAAGCATTGATGCATTTTTGGACTCAATTTCTAATCATTTATAAATTTGTGTCATGATGGTTCTTTTCCATAACTTGTGATGAACCAACAAATCGGACGGTGACCTAATCATTTCTGTTTCAGGTACAGCATAGCTTCAGCCTTTGGGGATGTGACGAGACAAAAGAGCGAACGACTAGGGAGGTGAGGTGAACTAATGGCGCTTTTCCACTGCGTGGTACGACTCGGCACGGCTCGGTTCGCTTTTCCACTGCAGTTCTGCTTCAAAGTGGGTGGGATTATAGTCTGACTGTTATGGTTTATCCGCTCCTCGGCAACCAACGAGAGGAACGTCTGCACTTCGTCCACTGACCACGATTCAGCCATTTATTTTTTGGAAGTTTTCTTTCTTTCTTCAAGCTAGTCAAAGTAGTTTTAAAACAGGTGCTACAGCGGTGACTGTTGCTGGCTATTTAAATCTAGCGGGTTTGATGTCTCACAAATACAATGACGCTGGTAGTGACGATTCTGTCTGACCAATCAGTGATCTGCAGTGTGTTCACGTCACATTTTAGTATCGGTACGGTACGCTTGGAACCTCAACAGAGGTGGTACCATTTAAAGCGAGCCGTACCGTACCGTACCGTACCATGCAATGCAGTGGAAAAGCGCCACAAGTGAGCCGTGCCGAGCCGTACCGTTAGGGGTGGGAGAAAAAATTCTTGTTGTTATATTAGTTATATTAGTTTAACATTCTTAACATACAACTGTTTTAATAAAAACAAATTAATTTGTAATTATTTTTTAAAAAGTACTTAATTACTTATGTAAACTAATGAATTAATAATTTGGAAGGTAGATAAAGAATCGTTCTGGAATCGGATCGTGACTCCCAGAATCGGAATCGGATCGGATCGTGAGGTGACCAAAGATTCCCACCCCTACGTACCGTACCATGCAATGCAGTGGAAAAGCGCCACAAGTGAGCCGTGCCGAGCCGTACCGTACCATGCAATGGAAAAGCGCCAAAGCATGCCGTACCGAACCGTACCATGCAGTGGAAAAGCGCCATAACATACTGCATAGCCTGAACACCCAGCTATGCAGTGAGCAATGAATTAATCATTTCTGTTTCTCATAACTTGGCCTTGGCTGCATAATAGTTTAGTCTTACTCTAAATGTGATCAACATTTGAGTAAGTTGATGGCAATTCACTCATTGCATTGTAGTTAGTAGTGTTGTCAAAAATATCGATATTTCGATAAATATCGATACTGAAAATATCTGAACGGTACCAATACTAATTTCCCGAAGTATCGATACTAGCCGAGCGGTCACTTTCACTTCTCTCCAAAGGCGCGTTGACAAACACCACACGTGACGCACTCGTCTCATTCGCTCTGGTTAAATAGCAAAAGTGAAGTGAATGGAAAGATTGCGAAGGTGGCGCCCCCGCGACCGGCTTTGGTTGATTGATAAAGAACACCGCGATCGGGCATGTCGGAGAATAGCGCGCACACGCATAAAAAACACACCGCGAGCAGGCATGTCGGAGAATACGCGGACACGCGCTTCACACTGTGAGCGTGCTGCGGGCACCCAAAAGATGGTTTGACTATCAATAATCCCTAACATCACTAGGGATGGCCCGATACCGATACTGGCATCGGGCCGATACTGTCCTAATACCAGAGGCGGACAGAGTACAGAGCTTTGTTACTTGAGTAAAAGTACAGATACCCCTTGCTAAATTTTACTCAAGTACAAGTAAAAGTACTACATTCAGATGTCTACTTAAGTAAAAGTACTAAAGTACTTGTTTTTAAAAGTACTTGAGTATCAAGAGTACAAGAGTAAATTTTCTAAATATTGCATTACTAATCTACTGCCACAGTGCTTACATTTATGCACAGAAACGTCCTACATGGAGTTATGAAAAATGTCAATGTTAATACCTTGGAGAATGTAAAAGGAATTGAAAGTAAAATCAAGTCATTTTCATCTTTTTACCATGTTGCTTTATTTAATTAAATTAAATTTTTGGGGGGTCCCATCTTAAATGCGGGGACAACACACACACACACACACCACATGTAAGGGTGGCGCTGCCAATAAAGCACCTAAAAGCTGTCACAAAGAACCGGCAAAAGGAATGATTATGAATATGTAAAATATAGCAAGGAGATATTTTAATTGTTTATTAATAAACACTTGTTAATAAACAAGTGTTTTCTTTGTCAGTGTCGGCTAAGATGAAGTTGACGATGCTGACTCGCGATCTTCAGTAGTGAACGCGCCAGAGAGAAATGCACATTTCATACGGATTACATAAGCAGAGAGCAGTCTGTAGTCTGTTTTCTTTCGTTTTGAATTTTTCTGTTTAAAAGTAGACATGTCTGTGAGAGGCAAGTAGGCTACCTTATACACTGAGTTTCGGTTCATTTATGAGACGAGATCCAGTTCACGTGCCGGCGCCTCCGTTTCTTATCTATCGTCTGCTATTTACTTCTTATTTATTAAACCCAGGCAATTGGTTGATGAAACATTGATTAAAATTAAGATACAATTAATGCAAAACGAAATTCAGGTTAAAGAAAGGTTTTGTGTTTTCTGTTTGATGTCTCTGTGAAAGTTTTAAAGCATTTTTTATGCCGCTTTCAGAGCGCTCACGTCCGTAACGGAGAACACGTCCATAACATTGTTTTTTCCTCATAAATGCAAACCCGAAAAATAAAATAAAACAAAATTAATATTTTATGTACTGTGGAGACTGAGCGCCAACCCTTCTTCATTCGCTGGGTAGTAGCCTACTTTGGTTTGCGCAGTGTAATTCACATAATCAGTAAAAATATATTTTGCCTCCTAAAGTTTTTTTTTAAGAAATCAGAAATCCCTCGTGGCTACGCCACTGCCACGTCTGTGTTAAACACACCACATACTCAAGAACATCAAACCAAATGCTTGGCTTACATTAAAGTAACAACAGATAGCTTTTGCTCTCGGGGTCCCCCTACAGTTGGGAAACAGTATTGTCCTCTACTACTGTCGTAAACTTTGTCATCCTACATGCACGTGCAATTGTTGACAACCAGGATAGCCCTGAACACTGTAGGAGGAGGTCACATGCAGGTGTTCTGCTTGCGTCGCATGTGAAATGTCTTCATCCCAGGTACAGTGGCATATATTTCAGCATGTCATATGAATATAATTTCATGGGTTTTATTTTTTTTCTAACGACAAATGATCGCGATGCTCACGTTTACAAGCCAGCGTCATTATAGTAGCCTAGTCTATTGGTTACCGTTTTACTGGATCTATATGATACTTCAATGCAATGTTTGAGTGGTTGATAATAACCATATATCGTCAATATTATAATATCAAGCTACCATAAATGAATCTGCAAATTTTACAAATCGATTTGCATTATAGCTTGAGGCAAGACAAATAAACAAATATCACAGACATGTTAGGTATCCTAAAATATGATTTTATTAATAATCTTCCTCCTTTCTTTGTACATGTTGAGTAGACTACACTTTTTGGGTCAAACATTTGCTATTTGCATTTCATCGATTGCAAAGTTCAAATCAGAACGAGAATACTAGCGATAGCTAACCATCAAAAACTAGAATATCGTTTACTAGCTACCAGATTGATAATTCGCTACTACTCTAGCGAATTAGAGAGGTTAGAGAGAGGCATTCTTTTTTCGATGGAGGGTTCGATGCTCCCTGCACACGCAAGGTCTCTCGCTCGCTTTCTCTCTCTGCCGTCCGCGCGCGTTGGAGCACAGTCTCTGTCTCGCGTGCGCGCTCGCTCTAGATTCCGGGAGATTTGAACTAATTTGCCGTATAACTTGTCGATCACGAGTGGCTCAACAGGTAGATCTATAGATAAACTCATCTTTCAGGGATTTGACCGACCGGGTTGACAATTTAGCGTGAGAAACCGGGGGTGTGGCGTACGTGTGAGCGTGTGAAACCAATCAAATGCGGGTGTCTCACGGCCAATGCGTGAGAGTTGGCAGCTCTGCAATGTTGATCCTCGTTCTGCCTTTAACGCGATCACTTTCTCTTTTTCTCTTTTTGCTTTGCTCCGATAAAACCTTTGCTTTCTTGTTTTTCTGTGCTGCTTCGGCCATGACTATAACATTTGGCTCGCAAGTCCGATTTTAAGGAAGTGGGGGTGGTGGTGGAAGTGACGTATATGCCGTAAAGCAGTCGAATTTTGTAGTTCTCTTTGTTCGCCGGTTACTACCCGAAACCCGAAGTTTAAAAGTACGATTAAAAACGCTACAGACCCCGTCAGGCTATGGCAGACGTGTCATTCAACCTATTGTAAGTCGATGTACCATCACAAGAGACTTGGAAATATATTATGAAGGTTGAAAAGTTACCTGTTGTTACTTTAATGTGTAATATAAAATCTGACCATGGAGTTGACTTTGGCGGAAAGCTGGAAGTGATTGCTGATAGGCTGTCCCAATCAGTGGCGCCTGCACAATCCAATCACGTTTGAGAGGGAAACAACAAATTGAGGGTTTCCGAGATTTTTCTTTTTTTTTTTAACTTTTTTTTTTTTTTACTCGGGTACTCACGGTTATGGATAGAAATGTATTGGAGTAAAGAGTACAATATTTGCCTCTCAAATGTACTTGAGTAAAGTCATAAGTACTCCCCAAAAATGATACTCGAGTAAAGTACAGATCCCTCAAAATTGTACTTAAGTACTGTACTCAAGTAAATGTACTCCGTTACTGTCCGGCTCTGCCTAATACACTCGTACTCATAAAAATTCGCCGATACCACGCACCGATACCACATACATTTTGCAAAACGAAACTGGCCGCCGCGAGAGCTTTGTCGAGGTGAACTGAGGCATAGGAAAGTATAATGTCGGCGGTTTGGGCTCATTTCAAGATAAGGGATGATGACAACAGCAAGGCAGACTGTGAGTTATGTTCAGCTAAGGTGTCGAGAGGAGGGAAAGAAAGTACATCGTTTAACACCAGCAATCTAATTAAACATCTGAAGACGCATCATAGATCTGATGGCCGAGCGCGCGCGCGGGCGGTAATGCACTCACTCTGTGTGTGCGGGTTACGGGAGAATAAAACGATTCGCGGGACTCCCGCAAACTAGAAATATCTATGAATAAAACATAAAAACTAAAAGATTTGTATTCATCTCTTGCAGAAAAGCAACAAGAACAACTACAACAAAATAGAAACGATTTACAGGACAGAGTTTCTATTCATAACATGGTTACAGCGTTGAGCGATGTAGCCAATCACAGACATATGTGTTGATTTCTGGAACGCAATGGCCAATCAGAAGCATTTAAGATAGACTCCCCTCACCGCTCAAAACGGACTTTTTTGTTCAGTGCTGAATTCTGTATGCTGGCAAATCCTCTAATTATAACAAACAAAGTGTGGATATTATGAAAGATTGATTGTGCAGTCAGCTTCATTGATAATAACAGAGATGTGTGAGATCGCGATGAACTGTCAGCTTTTAGGATTTATTAAGGGAGCGCACTTTGCGCGCATTCAGTCATGCCAGACCATGCACGCAGTAGCCTGCTTGCTTTTATGTTAAATTAACAGTGGTTTGTGTGTTAATACATTTATTATTTTACTAATTTTTATTTATTTTTAGACTTGTTAAAACAAGCAGAGAAGAAAATAAAAAGTCTTCTAACCTGTGTTCTAAAATAGTCGTCTTCTTTTCTGGGAGCCTATTACTTTTGCGGTAGAAATATCGGTATCGGTACTCGGTATCGGCAAGTACACAAATGTAAATACTCGTATCGGTTTGAAAAAAAAAGGTATCGGGCCATCCCTAAACATCACTCATTTTTTTTAATTATTTCATAGGTGATAACAGACTTAAGGAACAGGCTCCAGGGGTACCATTTAGCAGCATATATGCTCAGCATCAGGGGTGTTTGTTATTTGGACAGACCTGCCCCCACTGCTAAAAAAATCCTAAAAGAAACACTGTAACTCTTCTGAAACATTAACCAAGATGGCCTAGTATTGTTGTTGATATGAGTCTGTGTTGTCTAGTATTTTCACCGTTTTCTTAAAGTTAACATAATCTGACTGAGGAATCTTAGACAAGTAAATATTGTTGTGGTCAAATGTAAATTAGCTTGTGCCTATTTAACTTTATTCAAAAATTATTATTTAATTCTGCAATTTTCCTTCATTAGCGATTATCATCAATGTGATTACACAGATACTAATTAAACTAAACAGCAATGGCATCTCTGAATTCAATAATGAAATGCCTTTAACTGAAAATTGAATGTTTAATCTTATTATTATACATTACTGACACTCTATCCTCCAATTTGATACTGTTAAGTGCTTTTTTGTTACAGTATATTTTAATCTTTGATAACAGTAGGTAATAAAAATACAACGGATCATGTAAGCTCTGGTCCAATTAAAAAATATTAACAAATAGAACTCGGGACATTTTTGTTCATGTAAAATATACCTCATTGTCATGTTCTAGACTTGTTATATTTAGCTTTAAATACAAAAAATACCCCCTTAATATTGTGGCAATTTTTTTCTCTGTGGTATCGAATATCGATATTTTTCAAGGTATCGTATCGAAGTTAGAAATTCTAGTATCGTGACAACACTAGTTGTTAGGAATTTACACAACACAAGGAAGCTTGATTTCAATCTTTGCATTAAAATTGAAAAAAGTAGCACAAAATAAATACAATAGAATAAAGATACCAATAAAAAGAAAAGTTTTTAGATAAGTCTAACACTAGTATTCAGAAAGTAATCAAATGTAAAATAACACTGGGTAGTATTTTAGTCCTGACTAAAAAAACAAAAATTAATGACAGCCATGACTGCTGTCACTTTAATGATATGACGCAGCGCCTGAAAATAGCCCCCAGCTCTATTGACGGAAGGTAGCCTATTTTCAGGCGCTGCGTCATGTCATATCATTACGCCTGCTGCTCTCATGGTACGGCAGTAAAGTTTCTTGATTATTACGCAGGAATGAGAGTATAGTTCCTAGCCATATCAGCCTAAAAAAATCGCAACTTTACATCTTCCGTCGGTCTTAGTGCACGATGTAACTACAGAAGAGTCAAGTTTTAAATTGGAAAAATATCAAAACACTTTGGTGATTTTTGTTTGAGAACTGCTAATGGTCTTGTCCACTTCAATGATGTATGCTAAGCTATGCTAAAAGTGGTACCGCCAGAACCGGAGATCGGCTGAATGGATTCAAAAACGGTAAAACTCAACAGTTTAACTCTGGGGGAGTTGTAAAATGAGCCTATTTCCAAAAAAAGTGGAGTATCCCTTTAAAGATGGCGTCAATTTCAAACCAATTCGAGCCCGACTCAGGCCCTGACAATGTTAAAGAACAAGAGGATCATGCAGAACGGGATTTCATGCACAGACTTTGCAAGCACGGATTTCACAGGACGCTTCAGAGTGATATGTTTTTTGTAATTTTCTTAAACATTATAGATACGATGTTATGCACCATTTAATCAAGGTATTTGTTGGAAAACTAAAGGTAATACAAACAGTAATCGGTAACAAAACCATGGTTAATTTTCCTAAGTCCAAACGAGCAGTTATCTGTAGGCTAGTTCTTGAAAAGGGGATTCTGTTAAATAAAATATCTCTCTTTGGAGTGGACTTTGAGCTTTGTAACCTTGCAGATCCTTTTTATGCTCTAACAGCAACATAACACACTAACTAAAGTTGAAAAAGCATAATAGGACCCCTTTAATAGTTTGTTTTTTGTAATTTTTGTCAATTTGGGGAAAAATGTACTCAATTGTGACTCAACGTCATGAAAAAAAAAAATCAACAGCAACAGGTTGCACTGTTACTCATTTAAATCGAAATAAAAAAAGATTTAAATCTCAACACAAATCCCTGGCTTGAAGTTCGTAAGTTTGCATACCATATCTTGTGGCAAACGACCTGCAAAGTTGTCTATTTTAACGATGTCTTTACTAACTTTTCTGGGATGGCAGATATCGATTACCTTGCAGCCTAGAGTGAGCCAGCTCTCAGATTTCACCAAAAATATCTTAATTTGTGTTCTGAAGATGAACGAAAGTCTTACGGGGTTGGAACAACACGAGGGCGATGAAATTACTGAAAGAATTTTCATTTTTGGGTGAACTATCCCTTTAACAGATGCTTTAACAGAAACACGTGTTTTGCTTTTATGGGGCTATCAGCAAACAGTCACCAGGCTGAAGCACTGAGATGTTACCTAAAAAGGGCGTAAAAACAGAAAAACCTAACAAATTAAGGTCCAAGCCAAGAGCATGGGACACTTTTAGAAAAAAATTAAATCGCATTAATGTAACGTTAATCATTTTTCTTCTTACCACTTGATCTCATCTCTTCACTTATAAATAAAAGCAGATCAAATGCATAATTATTGTATTTATATTTTTATTATAAACTTTGTGAGGACCAGCCGCGCGAAGAAAAACACTCGATTCAACTTCCGACGTGCACGCGCCGACGCCTTGCCAGAATGTTCGGCCCATTTCCCTTCAAGCTGCAATAGCATCAACGACGAGCCAGGGAGGCCAAGTGTTACATTTTAAGGTAGCAATGCAACTGAGCAAACTCCATGTAGATCTCTTAAAAAAATAAATGAAGAAAAATAAAAGGGGAGATAGTGTTCCCGAGTTTAACGCCAGGCGTGCGTGTGCGAGAAAGGCGTTTCTGTCTCTCGCGGAGATGGGTGGCTGGACTGACCCTTTTGCCCGTACAATTTTAGGTCCAAAAGCTACCATGACACCAACAACGTTTAAGCTGTCCGATAAATACATGCACAAAACGTTCCAATGCACATTTTTTTAACCGTATAAACCCCAAAATGGCCCTAAAACCCGAGACACCGACTAGCCTTGTGGCTAATGCTGCAGAAGCATGGTCGCTCACTTCTCCATGTTGACCTCGATCCGAGTAGAAAACTAACCAAAATGTCTCAAAATATGACTAGATATTATTCAAGAGCAATTAGTTGCTTAGAGTACTCAAAACATTTGCCAGTTAATTATAAAAGAAATCACAGTCCTTAATACAAACATAGTCAGTCATATTATAGTATGTTTCACAATCTGCATGCAGCGCCACTTACCTGTGAATTACGGAATTAAGGGCGAAATAACACCAAACAAGGTGGTTTCCTGCAGATAGAGCGGCTTTAAGTGTCGACAAACGTTTGAAATCTGTCGATTGAGGAAAGAGTTTGTTATTATTTTATCGAGGTTCCTTGACTGGTCAGACAAAAGGTACACGCAAGCTAGCTGCCTGCCTCCAGCAACCCGCCAATTCCGACGGAAAGTACGTGCCTCTGACCGTACACGAGTGGTGCACCCTGGGAGTTGTAGTTTTACGTGCGCACTTGAAAGAGGAAAATGTGTTTGTTGTTCCTCGGTACACTTCGAAGATGCCTTTAAATATCATAATGTTTATTCAAAATTTCAATATTTAACTGCCTAAAAACTTTTTCCTAATAATTGTGTTACTGAAAAAACAAAAACCTGACATTCTTTAGAGATTTTGCAAGAACTTATGGAGGTCAGGTTCTTCAGAGAACAGACCTCCTTGATGACGCGTTTTAACGGTCACATCGTAAATCCGGTGAAGTTTTGTTTAATTAAAAAAAAATTGTTTCATGTATGTAGGCTACAACACTAGGCTACTTTGTATTATATTACCTTTCCATCACATTTAAAACCAAAACTATGCTGTGAGTGTGTTCTAATACAGAGTTTATCTTTTGTTATTTGAGCAAATGGGAACACGAAAAAATATTAAATGTAGGCAGAGGTGTAACTGTTAGTGGTAAAAAAAGAGGTGGGTAAACTATAAATTCTGGTGGACCACGACGTGGTCACCCGGTAAGGTGGGCCACTGCCTACCGGTGTATGTGTATCTCCTGATGACATTGCTATATAGAGAGGGCTCGACATTAAGCCCTTTCATACGCTTAATCTGTCATTCACTTGTCCGAGTAAAAAAGTTTCTCGTCCGGATTTTTTATTTTATTTTATTTTTTTTGTGTTAATTTATTCTGAAACAATATTCTCATCAGTGTTCAATCAGCTTTGATATTTGAATCAGCATATTGTAATATCTGCACCTTTAAATGGCATCCCCTCCCCCAATCTTATTAAATGTATGCTTCATCTTTCATTTTAAATTCCTAAATTTGATCAATAAATTCAATTATTTCGAATAATAAGACACTATAGGGCTGATAAAATTAAATAATTTGCACTGAAAAATTACAATTGCATAAAATAATGTTATGAAATTGATTTAAATTTACAAATAAGAAACGTTGGAAAGAATGATCTACTTTTAAACATAACACGAAACCGCCAGTAGGTGGCGGCAGGCGGCCGTCTTAATGAGTGAGTCATTGATTCATTCATTCAAACGATTTGTTCAAACGGCTGATTCATTCAAGAATGAGTTATTAATGGGTCATTGAATCTTTGACTCAACCGATTCGTTCAAAATGCTGAATCATTCATAATGAAAACAGGTTGAGTGTTCCTGTGAGATGCGCCGTGGTTCTGCTGTGATTTTTGTTTGGAACTATTTTCGCTGCTGACACAGAACAAAAACAGCCACTATTGCATCTAAAATGTAAGTGACTTAATTTTAACTGTTTATTGAACTGTTGTAGGAAATCAATGTCACATTTTCAATCGTGATGGTGTTCAGGAAAAATGATTGAGGTTGATTAACATATGTTAAAAATATAAAAAACTCCACATTTAGATTTTTATAGCAGTGGCGTAGACAGGGGAGGGGCCATGGGGGCACTGGCCCCTCCTGAAAACTGATTGGCCCCCCGGTGTGCCCCCACCCTTCTACTTGTCTGTCATTCAAAAATTCAAATCATCTTTCAGTTTGTAGTAGAATAATTAATGATTCCGCGTCGCGGTGCTTCTCAACGAGGACCAAGAAAAGCGAGCTAGAGTTTTTTCTATTTCTTTTTCATTTTTTTTGACCCAGCGCCAATATTTCCGCCCGTGTTCTCTGATTTGTTACTTAGACTTGAGTGAACTAACATTCAGCCAATCACAGCGCGAAGCATCTATTGGGCGCGTCTGCCATGTGCTTCAAATCTCTTGTTGCTCTTGCGAATTTTCGTGTTCGTTTAGTTGCAGTTTGGCCGTCTAATGTATTCCATGCATGCACATCCCCAGAACAAAAGCAGAGGACGATTACATCATTTTTTTGACACACACTGTAAGTATAATGTGTTACATTATGTCGCGATGTCATGAATCACACGTAAAGTTTCCTTGTTATGATTTAACCTACTGTAACGCAGTTAGACGTGTAAGACAACAGAACCCGTATGGACCTCGTCGCGCCGGATTGTGCCGAGTGTGTGTTAAATGCTCTCTTACTTGTTGCTTTGGATAAAAGCGTCTGTTAAATGAGACATAACAGATTATTCCCAGCAGGCACACAACGTCATAAGACGTTGATATTTGGTTAAATTTTGGTTGCGACGTCGGGTGACCAAAATTCAATGTAAATTCAACATTTAATGTCAATGTTAAATTGTTGTCCAATACCGAATACATTGATTTAGGTTTTATTGATATATTTTTTATAAAATGTCTGTTGTATAAAATTACTGTAGGCTAGATGTAATCTGTTCTGTACTTATTGAACACTTTTTTTGTCCAACTGTTAAGAAGTAAGATAAAAGTTATTGTTCAAGTGCAGTTTAACTGAAATATTGTAAATATCATAAAATATCTTTATTTCATAAAAATAAAGTATAGATGTCCTCAGTTGTCTGAAAGTCCCAAGTCCTGCAATATTTTTTTATTTCGAGTATGATTTCACAAAAATAGGTTGCTGTAAGCTATCATGGCATGTTCCCAAAATTGGCACTAGGGTGCTGTAAAATGCCAATTGCTATTCCATCTAGAATTTATTATTATGAACATCACCTTTCAGTCCCTCCAGAAAAACGCGATTATGCGATCGCATGATTCAATGCATAATCAGCCAAAGTCTGCATATTTATGCGGGGGCATTTTTTCAAATACGCCGCACTTTTGCCGTATAAATTGCCGATTTCCACGCAAAATATGCGGGGCTTGTATGATTTCATAATCCCCGCATTTTTGTTGCAAAAAAGAAAGTCACATATATCTTAGCAGAAAGTTGAAAAATGTTGCGTTTACTTCACACAAGAGCAGCCATTTCCCCCTGTTGCCATGGGAACGTTATGAAGTGACGTAATTACGCGACATGAACATCATTGAAAAGCTGTAAAACAGGAAAAAAATTTTCATATTTTATTTATTCATTTTTACAGAAGTTGTAGCATATTCCTTTTGTAAAGCTACAGAACTTGTTTGACTCATCAATGTTTTGTAAGTTTGAGCCATGTGTTTATTAAGGTCTGAAATAAAACAAAATGAAATATTCCAGCACTTTCTGTGATGTAGTTATGCTTGCTTATCATAGGAAGTAATAAGAAATAGCTCTTTACATTAAGATAGTAGCCTAGTGAGAACAGGGTGTTGGGGAATCACTTTTTCTCTCTTTTTCATCAAACCGCAGTTTTTGCATATTCCATCGCCGCATAATCAAGGATTTAAAAAAGATTTATTACAATTTTATTACAGTTATATGAATTCATTAATTGTGTATTTATTATATGAATGATTAATATAATTATGCATTTATATAAATAAGGCTGTTCTATTATTATTTGTGAGTTGTACACTAATACATTGGATTATTTTATTTATTACAATTTTTCTTTCACTTTTGTAAAGTGAAAAGTTAATATAAATTGTATTTTATTGTTTTGATTTTGAGCAGTGAATAACTGCTATTAAAAGATAATAGGGTTTTACTGTTCATTGCTGATTTTAAAGCTTACTGAACTTGAAATGATTTGGATATCTACAGTTCTACATAAATACACAACATAAGAATGGCCCCTCTGTAATAATTGTGGCCCCTCTTGTGCCCCCCAGTTGAAAAAATCCTAGAATCGCCCCTGTTTTATAGGCAGTATGTTGTTAACTGAGTGTGTGTGTGCTGCGCTCATGTGTGTAGATTTCTGCTCGAGAGGCTGCGCGAGCGTCAACAGCGCAACCTTACCGTCAGTAAAAGTCATCAAGACTGACAGTAATGCAGCGCAATATGAAAGAGTTCGTCTTAGGTTTAACAACCTATGAAACTAATAATGAACAATATGAAACTAAAACGACATAAGCTTAATTTATAGCTATTTAGAGGTGGATAAACGCAATTTAGAGGTGGATAAACGCACTTTGGAGGTGGGTAAATGCTATTTCCTAATATTGGGAGGTGCGTAAACGGCGTTTACGTGCGTTTAGCCTCCACTACATCCCTGAATGTAGGCTAGTCTCTCATTCACCACTAGAAGTTTACCCAACTATGACGACTTCCGCTTCTGTGAAACCCGGAAATGTGAAAAGGGTCAATTGGGGCCATATTCACAAAACATTTCGGCTGCATCTGAAATCGCATATTCCATAGTAGGTAAAAAAAACAGTATGTAACAAAAGAAGATGTCCGAATTCACAGTAACCTACTCATAAAAGAGTATAGGCAAAAAGTACCCGAATGACCTACTACTTCCAGAGAGATTATGAAGTGCATATGACACTTCTTTACTATCCCATGAGGCCACTGGGGAGGATTTGTGTATGGCAGTGAATGGACGCAACTGATGCTGGTAGGTCGCATGATAATGAAAGCATGGCAGATGTACGTCCAGATTACATTCATACACACACTCATATAACGTTACTGTATAGAACTACTTTTTTTAGCAGTCATCATGAAGTACTTATTCAAAATAATTTCTTCAAGAGAGTATGCGATTACAGTTGCAGCCATCCTTACCTCTTAAGAGTTTCTCTTAAATCGGCAAGTTAGGAGCTACTTTTAGCCTCAAGATGTTTTGTGAATATGGCCCCTGACCTTTTGAAATTGGCTGAAGATTTTCCAAAGGGTTTCAAACCAGAAGTTTTTGAGGAAGTTTGACAGCACTTGCTTTTCTCAGGACTGAACAATCTGGATATAATGTTAGATTTAGTGCATTTATGAATGGTGATATAATTATAAATTATATTTTATATGAAAAAGTATGTGGCTGTTTAAACTAATTTTTGTTTGCTGTTTTCGTAGAGTCATTTAGCAGACGCTTTTATCCAAAGCGACTTACAACTGAGGACTAAACCAAGCGAGTCATTGTGAATAGACAAAAACAACGCAATAAGTGCTCAAAATACAAAGTTCAGACATTGCTCGGAGTAGCATAAGCCAGATAAGCA